TAATCAGGAGAACGCCATTGATTAGCTGTGTGAGGAAGCGATTTCTGGAAGGTGGTCGATTTCTTCTGGAAGCTGGATGTGATGTGAATATTCGGGATAATACAGGCAGCACCGCCCTTCACTATTGTTTCTTGGGATCGGTGGAAGCGAACATCGTATTACTGAAGATGCTTTTGGAACTGGGTGCCAATCCAAACATGAAAGACTTTTCAGGAACAACTTCGATGCATCTTGCTCTCGTTTGCGGAAATAAAGACATCTTCCAAACGATGGTCAGCCATAATGGCGATTTATCGGAGCTCAAGGCTCAGGATTGTGTGGATTTGATCATGAGGTTCGGCTTCAGACTCAACTTTGATATTGAGGTGATGATGCAAAGGCTGTATTGTCTCGGATGTCCTCTGTTTAAATGCTGCAGAATAATCCAGCTCTTAAAAATGTGGGACATTGATTGCATTTCAGCATCTGCGTTTTTGGACACAATTACCGACGCTGTTCCGAGATTAACAGAATTAAGTAGGTTAAAGGTCAGAAAGTGTCTTCAAAAGAGTGATTCGTGTGGTCAAATAAGTGACCTAGATCTGCCATCGGTCCTTCGAAGATTCCTTCAGATGGAAAGATTAGACATTAAAGCGATCGAGGTCGTTAAAACAGCAGGCGGTCAAGATCCATTGTCGGAAATCATGGCCCCTAATCGGTAGCATCTACATGTATCACCAAATCCCAATTTGTCTGTACACAGCTGCGACTAAAGAGATCCTCGTCGAAGTCATGTCTTGGCGACATAGACAACTTATCGGTGATCTGACAGAAAATGGGAACAAAATAATAAAAACAATTTACTGCATCTATTAGTTCAACAATGAGCTAAGGAAACACCTGATAGAGATTAGTCGGTGCATCACTCTGATCAACAGGGACGTCACTCTTATTAGACGTAGCATCACTTCGCCCAGTTTAAGTATCATTCTTAATTCGGGAGGCACCAATTAAGTCGAAACATCACTCTGACCAGTCTAAGCATCAATGCAATTATTCGGTGTATCAGTCGGGCAACACTTTGACCAGAATACTAATAGCAGTCAATTTCACCAGGGGTCACTTTGATCACACAGGAAAACACAGATCAGTCGGGCCGTCTTTCTGACCAGTTAGGAAATCACTATGATTAGTTGGACCATTACTATAATCAATCGGTCATGTAGAGGAATCACTTTGACCAGTCGGGGCAGCACTCTCACCAATCACCACTTTGTAAAGTATAGGCATCAATTTGATCAGTCCAGGGCGTCACTTTGATCAGTTGGAGCTTCACTGTAATCAATCAGGCCATCTCTATGACCAGTAAGGGCATCATTCTCATCAACCGGGTCATTACTTTGATCACAAGGGACTTTGCTTTCTTGTAATCAGTAGATGCCTGTCCAAAACTGAGGAAAGTGATGTCCAAACTGATCAGTGATGTTCCATCTAAGCAGAGTGAAACCACGACTTGTCAATGTAATGCATCGAATGAGCAAATGATGCTCCCACACATCAGGGTGTTGATTCACTTTGAGACGATGAGCCATCACTCAGGTGGGTGGGGGCATCACTTTGATAAGTCGAAGCATCATTCTGATCACTCAGATCAGTTGATGCATCTCCGTGGTCAAGCGGGGCATCACTCTGATCATGCGAGACATCAATCTGGCCAGTTACATTATTCAGTTCAGTCGACTGATCAAAGTGATGTCCCCACTCATCAGGGTGATGACTAAGATCCGATGGGCCATCACTCAGGCGGGTGGGGACATCACTTTGATCAGTGTACGCATCAATTTGATCAGTCGAGGCATCACTCAGATCAATCGGAATATCACTAATTAAGTCGGGGCATCACACTGACTAATCAGGATGTTAGTTTAATCAATTGGGCACTCTGATCAGTCTGGATATCACTCAATCAAATGAATCTAAGCATCACTATTATAAGCCGGGGCATCACTCTGCATCACACTGAA